CTCAAGCGTCAGCTGCTCAGCATGAAAGATGGCGGAAGGAGCAAACGTGTTGCATCACTGCAATGATGGCTTGAACATCGGCGCCACGCTCAGCAGCATTGGCGCCAAGATGGAAGATGAAGACATTGCGATCTGCCTGCTGCTCAGTCTCCCGAAGAGCTTCGACAACGTGGTGCTAAATTTGGAGATGAGCAGCGCAGAGCTTCGTACCCAAGATGTAGTCAAGGTGCTGACGAAGAGCACGCCAAGCGTCAAGGGGAAAAGGTGACGACAACAGCGACTACGGTGAAGACTGAAGATGCAACCAAGACATTCAGTACCGAGCGTGAGTCCTACCAATGCACGTATTGTGGCAAGGTTGGGCACACGGTGGATCGCTGTTGGACGAAACAGAAAAATGGAAGTCGTGGATCTCGACGCGGCGGCAATGGCCGTGGACGCGGAGCTAACATCCAGTGGTGACAGCATAATGAAGACAACGGCTACGATCGAGTAGCGTTTGCTATTTCGCTGGAGTGTGGTATCTACAAACAAGGATGTGTCTGGAAGGTGGGCCGTCGACAGTGGTGCAACTCATCATATCTGCCATGACAAGTCGAAGTTCTCCAGTTTGGTTGAACGTAATAATGGGGAAAAGGCAATAATGGGCTAATGGCAACAAGGTGGACATCAAGGGTGTGGGAACTATCATTGAGAAGGTAATTCTGCCCAATGGCGACAAGCGCGAGATCGAGATCAAGAACGCACTGTACGTACCCAGTATGAGCAAGAATCTGCTATCGGTGCCGCTGATCAACAAACATGGCAAGTTTCAAGTGGTATTTGATGGAACAAGAATGCATATTGCGCATAAGGACTCGCAGCAAGTGGTGGCGACAGCGGATCTCGTGGATGGTCTCTACTGGCTTTGCACGGCTCAGCGATCGGCTAATGTGGCAGCAATTAGAAACAGTTGTGGGTGACTTACATGCGCGAATGGGTCACGCTCCAGTTGACGTGCTTCGCAAGATGGTGACCACCAACATGTTGACGGTCATCGGTTCCACCAAGGTTGGGTAACCGTGACCGGTCCAATCCGAACCGCCTGTTCAGCTTAGTATTTACGACGTAGTTTTTACGATAATTACTTAGAGTTGATTAGACGCGTAGGATGATGAGACGCCCTACATGATTTATATGTGGTTCACATATAAATCATGTAGTTGGCAAGTAAGCCCCAATAATCAATCACTTTCGAATTCTCCCTCAAGTGAACAAGTGTTCTTTGCTTCGTTTTTCTTCTCCAAGCCGCTCAGCTCACAACAGCTATGAGCCCAAGCGCCATGTCCTCAAGCAAAGCCTCGACCAGTATCTCCATCGATACGTTCGATGGAGACAATTATGCAACGTGGTGTCGTTACATGCGTGGCGTGTTTCTGACCAAGGTACGTCGTGAACCGAGAAACGACTCCACGCTTCGCCGACCCGCGAGCGTCTGACGACGTTAAGGCGAGCAACATCGCGTTTGGCTTGATGTTGCTTCACATGGACGCGGACTACCACCATGTGGTCGACGACTATGAAGAAGCATGGGTCGCATGGTCACGTTTGAAGATGCTGTAGGGCGGCTCGCAGAAGGCGGGACGAATCTACCTCAAGCGTCAGCTGCTCAGCATGAAAGATGGCGGAAGGAGCAAACGTGTTGCATCACTGCAATGATGGCTTGAACATCGGCGCCACGCTCAGCAGCATTGGCGCCAAGATGGAAGATGAAGACATTGCGATCTGCCTGCTGCTCAGTCTCCCGAAGAGCTTCGACAACGTGGTGCTAAATTTGGAGATGAGCAGCGCAGAGCTTCGTACCCAAGATGTAGTCAAGGTGCTGACGAAGAGCACGCCAAGCGTCAAGGGGAAAAGGTGACGACAACAGCGACTACGGTGAAGACTGAAGATGCAACCAAGACATTCAGTACCGAGCGTGAGTCCTACCAATGCACGTATTGTGGCAAGGTTGGGCACACGGTGGATCGCTGTTGGACGAAACAGAAAAATGGAAGTCGTGGATCTCGACGCGGCGGCAATGGCCGTGGACGCGGAGCTAACATCCAGTGGTGACAGCATAATGAAGACAACGGCTACGATCGAGTAGCGTTTGCTATTTCGCTGGAGTGTGGTATCTACAAACAAGGATGTGTCTGGAAGGTGGGCCGTCGACAGTGGTGCAACTCATCATATCTGCCATGACAAGTCGAAGTTCTCCAGTTTGGTTGAACGTAATAATGGGGAAAAGGCAATAATGGGCTAATGGCAACAAGGTGGACATCAAGGGTGTGGGAACTATCATTGAGAAGGTAATTCTGCCCAATGGCGACAAGCGCGAGATCGAGATCAAGAACGCACTGTACGTACCCAGTATGAGCAAGAATCTGCTATCGGTGCCGCTGATCAACAAACATGGCAAGTTTCAAGTGGTATTTGATGGAACAAGAATGCATATTGCGCATAAGGACTCGCAGCAAGTGGTGGCGACAGCGGATCTCGTGGATGGTCTCTACTGGCTTTGCACGGCTCAGCGATCGGCTAATGTGGCAGCAATTAGAAACAGTTGTGGGTGACTTACATGCGCGAATGGGTCACGCTCCAGTTGACGTGCTTCGCAAGATGGTGACCACCAACATGTTGACGGTCATCGGTTCCACCAAGGTTGGGTAACCGTGACCGGTCCAATCCGAACCGCCTGTTCAGCTTAGTATTTACGACGTAGTTTTTACGATAATTACTTAGAGTTGATTAGACGCGTAGGATGATGAGACGCCCTACATGATTTATATGTGGTTCACATATAAATCATGTAGTTGGCAAGTAAGCCCCAATAATCAATCACTTTCGAATTCTCCTCAAGTGAACAAGTGTTCTTTGCTTCGTTTTTCTTCTCCAAGCCGCTCAGCTCACAACAGCTATGAGCCCAAGCGCCATGTCCTCAAGCAAAGCCTCGACCAGTATCTCCATCGATACGTTCGATGGAGACAATTATGCAACGTGGTGTCGTTACATGCGTGGCGTGTTTCTGACCAAGGTACGTCGTGAACCGAGAAACGACTCCACGCTTCGCCGACCCGCGAGCGTCTGACGACGTCAAGGCGAGCAACATCGCGTTTGGCTTGATGTTGCTTCACATGGACGCGGACTACCACCATGTGGTCGACGACTATGAAGAAGCATGGGTCGCATGGTCACGTTTGAAGATGCTGTAGGGCGGCTCGCAGAAGGCGGGAGAACAACTAAGAAGTGCCTCACTTACGTCACGCAAAATCTTATCAAGCTTCTCGTGCACAGTGGGCGATAGTTATTAAATTCAAGACTGACTTACATTTAATAGGTTTTAACTAAATATAAATCTAATTACTGATTGGTCAAACATAAAAGATCGGATACGCGTCTTTTTAGTAGCGTATCCTTGCGTGCGAGCTTCAAATATATGTAAACTCGCTGATGACGTCTGTCTGAAGCGTCACCATGACGCCTAGTCCCAACTGGCGTCTTCCTCGTTGAATATGGATCCATCCATGGATATCACATTCCCGAGGTGGGTCCCATTCATGTACCACTCCCAAGTAGCAGGTCAAAGGTACCTCGTACCCATTTAGGCATGCCCGTTAAGTATTCGATACTTAACGAACCGTGTAACGTTTAGCTTCTTACAGGGCAATGTGGTATAAATATTGCATAAATTGTATACGTATAATTTTTTATGGAAGTATTAAGTGTAGCATTTAAGTATAGTATCGGTAATACCGTACCGTATCGGTTAGTATATGATAACCCATATTGTCGTGTTAAGTACATCACACACTCACTTTTGTTGTGACGCTTAGTTTTACATTGCAACTCAATGACGATGCAAATTGTCACCTCTTCTTTGCATCCTTCAATAGACATAAAGTGAAGTCTGACTAGTAACGACTGATGCCCTTTCTGACAATTAGATCGTAAGGCTGGCTATTGAACCTATTGGTTTAACACTTGCTGATCAATGATAGCAAGTCAAGAGGCGAAAGAGACAGGTTGTGCTGTAGGCAATACTGTAAATGCCTCTTTAAAAGTGACGTGAACCCATTTCATTGAATGAAGACGCGAAGGTCTTGTTCTTGGACACGGAAAGACTCAATAATATCGATCGAGAACAGACACATGATACCTCAATTTTGGCATTGGCTTTGGGTCTGAATGTGTCTACAATAGACGTGGAGTTATCGATGGCAATGCTATTGTAAACCTTTCTCTTGTAATCAACTTTGTCGATACAAATTCAAACGTCGTGTCTTTCGAATAAGGAAACGGGAAAATATGAAAGCAATCGTCTACACAAATTCTTTCCCAGTTTAATGTGGGTCTTACATGATTTTACACTCCAGTTACTGGACAAGGGTAAGGTCCAAACAATATCTGGAGAGCGCTCTCCAGTCTACGGGAGACGCAGTGACGATGCAGTCAGGAAAGACCAGATCCGAGCGACTTTTAGACATCAAGATTGTGTTACGTAAGTACGACTTGGAGATAACGAATAAAAGCTACGGAGCCTGCCTCAAGTGCCGTACGAGGAGCCGAGACATGATTTTCGAACTAGCTATGGAAGTCTACGCAAGAAGCTGTTTGGCAAAGCAAAACCCAAGACCATGTTCGGCAAGGCATTTATTGGAGCCATGTTTGTCAACTTGGCGGAATCTTATATCGAGGCACTATATCGTGGCAAGGCACCGGTGACTTCTAGATCCTGAAAGCAAGTCGTCAAGCGCAATGTCAAGATGCACTTTAAGATGCTGTCAAGTGGTACTAGGCGGAGCTACAGGCGAGAGTACGCAGATATGTGTCAGCTAAAAAGTTTGAAGAAGATACTAGTTTAAAAGTATATAAGGTGATGAATTTTTTTTCAAGCAGTGGACAAAGGCCGGGGATGTTCGACAACATGGACCTTCAAATCGTGGCATTGCGACGAAAGTCGAATATATAGGATCTGATCGACAAAGCGGAAAATCCGACAGTTACGGAGAAGGAAAAATGATTATAATTACGAAAAGAACGCCAACGCAAAATTAGAGGCTGCTGCACAAAGTGTCGAACGCACGCGACTGCTCTGTCCTGAAAAAAGCCTTATAAATAAATGTACGCTGTTTTGACCGGATAAAAAAAGAGCTTAAAAAGCACTCGTACAAGAATTAGTAAAACCTTACATATCGTACTACTATTTAATCATTTCATTACCATTTGACCAAATGGAGATATATCTGAGACGAAAGAGACTGCTCACGAATGAATAAGCTCGGTTTCTATATACGACTATACTGGAATCAAGATGGAATCCTGTTTGCGGACTTAAACCTTCAGAAGGTCGTTCTTCAATGATCACGTCGTTTCTTTCTAGTCAGGTCGTTCCTTTCTAGTCAGGTAGTTCCTTTCTAGTCAGGTCGTTTCTTCTTGTCAGGTCGTTTCTTCTTGTCACGTCGTTCCTTTCTTGTCAGTTCGCTCCTTTCTAGTTAGGTCAATTCTTTCTAGTCAGAAACGACCTGTCAGAAAACGACTTGACTAGAAAGGAACAGATCGATGGCCTTTCATCTTGGCCCCAGTATGACCGTATGTAAAACCGAGCATATTCATTTGCAAACAGCAGATTCTCGTCTCTTCATTCGAGAATTGGCTGGTTTAAAATGATGGTGACTCTGTTGTGCGCGATTGTTGGTCCGCAAGGGAGTATTTTCCCTATCGACATTGACGCGAACAAAGTGGTATACGAGTTGAAGAAGGCTATTAAGGAGAAGAAGCCGAACGGCTTGAAGGACATTAGTGTGGACAAGCTGCGTCTCTACTTGGCGAAGATGACGGACGGTGCGTGGCTGAAAGACAACGATCCTGCTGCGCAAGAGTTGTCTGAAGGGAAGACGCATCCACGTATTCAGCAGGTGATTGATGGAGAGCAAGCGTTAGCAACGAGGTCCCTAAAGCATTGGCTGTTTGACGATAACAAGATGGTGCAGCCATCGACAGATCAAATCCACGTGCTGGTAGTGGTGTCAGAGGAGTATGACTACGTACCCGTTAAAGAGGTTACAAACGATCCAAACTACAAGGAAGAGCTAACGCGTTACCAGCAACGGGGGGAGCTGATTCAGCGCAACTGTGAGGACTACTGCCAGCAGATTTTGAGCAAAATCGACGCACTGTATGCCCTCTCGGACGAATTTGCGCTGCCGTTCATTTGCGTGGAAGGATCATCTGGCATGGGAAAGTCTCAACTGGCGTTTGCTTTGGGAGGAAGCCGCCCGTGGTTTTACTGGCCTACTACACCCATTGGATACTATTCTCAGCGCTTGTATAGAAATTTCTCGTCAATTTCAGATGCGTTTCTTAACGTGACAAACAAGGATGGCCCAACAAAAAAGTTTAAAAAGGACATTTTGAACTCGAGGTCTAAATTTTACAAAACTGAGAGTTTGTGGACCTTCGGCTTCATTCATGCGTTGCTTAAGTGTTGCAGTGAAGAAAAAAATCAGCAAGGAAAAATGATACGCTTTCAAGAAAAAACGTCGTTGTACGTGGAAAAGTGCAATCGCGAGAAAGTTGTCGCTTTTCGCAAAAAGATGAAGACTGATGGGAAGGTCTTGCCTTTCTTTGTGTTGGACGAAATGATGCCTAACATGAACATTGGTGGCGGTGGTATGAACCTGGCGGCATTCCAACGCAATGTTTTTCGTGTGTGTGGTCTGGTCGTTATTGTGATGGGGACTGACGCTAAGGTCACCGATCTGGTTGATCAGTCAGTAGGAAGCTATACTGAAAGACATGCATGGATGACGGTTATTTCTCGTTTCCCTTTATATCAATCAATTCCGTTTGCAAATAAGGACAAACAGACTGCTTGGAACCACCTCCAAGCTAAGTATCCCATTCTGCAAAGCATTATGTTAAATTCTCGCGGGCGTTTTGCCGGGTATTTCGCCGACAGCGCGGCACAATATGCGATGGAAAATGTTGCAAATGATATTAAACTTTGCGATTTGCTGGATGTAGCATTTAATCATGTAGGCTCGGAGACACGGAGCCGCAAAAATTTTATGGAG